CAGTCTCTATCAGCTGTCTACACTTGGCAACGTTGAGCGATAGCTCCCAGTCTTCAGTCCACCGCACGATGGTATCCAAATCCCTTTTCAGGGTCTGGTTGAAGGAGGAACTCACCAGTTTTAAGTCATCAGCACACATGAATACTGGATTCTTAATCATCGTCGGTAAATCATTTACATAGACGAGGAATAGGAGAGAGCTTAAGACTGACCCCTGTGGGGACCAACTTGCTATCCTGCCTTCCATCGGTTTGATACCTTCTAAGTTGACATGGAAGGTCCTTCCTATCAGGAAGTCATCCGTCTATGCAAGCAGTTTCGGATGAATTTTGAAGATCCTAAACTTCAGGAGCAGTAGCCTGTGATTTACAGAATCAAAAGCCTTTTGAAAGTTCAACTAGCAGACTTCCACTCTCCCCTCTATCTAGCCTTTCGGTTATTTCACCTAAAATATCAGTAGATTCGTAAGACATGATCTCTTTCTCACGAACCGATGATGGCTAGCTAATAGCGGATTGTGGCTCACAACATGAGCCAGCACCCTGTCCCTCAGTATCCTTTTCAGGATCTTCAGTTTTTACCGAGGTTAGACTAACCTGTCGATAGTTTTCCGCTTGGTTTCTGTCCCCTCCTTTGTGTATGGGGACAACATTCGCAACCTTACAGTCTCTTAAAAGCCGCCCATCCTGAAGGAACTTAATAAACAACTTTGCTGACGGTGCTGCAAGCACACCATCCAACGGTTTCCGGAGGTCTGGATCGATGTCATCAGGTCTCGCTGCCTTTGTGCTTTTCAGAGCTTGCAGTTGGGCTCTTACTTCATCTTCAGCGCTGATAACCTCGGTCATTGTTGGTATTTCTCGCAAGGTGGGGCTTGGGAGATTTTTCCCTCGATCCGGTTTGTGCACCCCTTCGAAAAACCGGCGGAAAATATCCGCCTTTTCTGCATTGGATTCTGCACTAACTGCATCCACATTGTGGATATTCCCGTCCGCCCCTCTAAATATGACCTTGGACTGGGCATAGTTAAGGAAGGCTTTAGGCTTGAGTTTCGCTTTCTTAGCTATTTTTTACATATTCGATCCTGCACACCCGTTGATCCACCATTGTGCGCTTGTGCAATCGGTCGTATTCTACGAATCGGCAGGGGCTGCCTGATGTTATTGGTCTCCCCACGCTCGCTGTTTACAAGCCTGGGACTTTAGAACTCTCGCCTTTCACCACGAAGGCTTTCCGTTCCTCCTGATGCCTTTTAGCGGAGCATAACCATTCGCGAGCTGCAGCAAATTGGACT